TATATTTGTTTTTCACAAGGTAAATCATATGACAGTAACACTTGTGTTAATTAAATATGATTGTGTCCTTGTGCAAGACACATTAGTTACATTGCTTCAGTCCACCCAGTTGTATAAATGGGAACCAGCAAACACTACGGAAACTGGGGATAAGCTCCAGCCCATTGAGCCCCTAGTGGCTCGGAAAGGTTAGTTTTTTTAGTTAATTAAATATGTTAATAAGTATTAGGACTTTAGTATTAGAAAATTGCTAGCATATCAAAAATGTAAATACTCATATCTCACTGTTGAATTCCTTAGACCACAAGTTGAAATTTGTAGAGTTATGTAACAACATCAGTTCAAAACAAGCTTCCAAAATTGACTTTATTTAACTCCGCTTCGTTAAATTTGCTTCAAGGGTATGTAATGTTCGAAAAGGTTCTATCAATCTTCCTTCATTTAAAAGTCGGCGTAATTTTCTGAATTTAACATTTTTATTTAAATGTTAGTTATTTAACATCCTTATTTGGTATTTCTCTAAACCCCAAGGTGCCGTAATACCATTATTGAATTTTTCACAATTTCTTTTGCCAGAGTCAATGTTACTGAAATGAGTTAATTATTAGATTACCAAGATTGTATAACAATCTTAACAAAGAGGATTTTCATTAGATATATTTGTTGGAGTATATAAAAATAAGATCAAATCTATTACACATAGGCAAACTAGAGTACGTTTTTTAGATTTAATGTGACTTTGCTCATATTTTTATTAGTTTATTTGTATCGGTATTTTGTTTCCATTCTGTAAGTGGCGGGCCACTCGCTGTTTATTGCAAATTGAAATAAAATATAAAATAAGCCTATATATAGATCATCAAAGAAAGGTATATACAGTGTTCGAATATTAAGAATATGATGGTAAATCGTGTAGCATAGCTCTCAACGAATATTGTCTTATAAATGCATTGTGAAAAAGCCTAGTGCTCCCCGAGAGGGCGCTGAACCAGGTAAGTCAGGAGGTACGGCTGGAAATAAATAGTAACATAGTAACACAATATTAACAGAGGCTTCATGGTTGAACAAATTCATAAAACTGACAGGTACATTGTATTAAAAGAATCATTACATTTACTATCCACTATATTCAGCCCACTTGGACTTCAAGTATTTACTAACCAATATATTCAGCCAACTTGAATTTACTATCCAATATATTAAGCTTACTTTGACTTTCAGCATTTACTATCCAATATATTCAGCCCATTTGGACTTTTAGAATTTACTATCGAATTCAGCCGACTTGGACTTTTAGCATTTACTATCCACTATATTCAGCCCACTTGCAATTTTAGCATTTACTATCCACTATATTCAGCCCACTGAATCTTGTATAAGCTACTGTACTATCAAATATCAACAGAAGATATTCATACACCACACCACAGCTCATCACTGCCGTCAAAACAATGATCAATACCATCGCATACGTAAAAGTTGGGAAGACAATATCCATCATCTTTACACTGGAACTCAAACTCGCCACAAACTAATAAGAAAATTTTAAAAATTAAATGCAGTCGAGATATATATTTAATAAAAAATGGTGTAGATGTATTAATTAACTCGTCTTTACACTCTATTCTTAACTATCTTGTAAAATTTTTATTGTAATTTATTTGTATTGCTTGGTATTGCAATGTTGGGTAGTGGATAATGGCCCATAATGGCATACTGAAGAATTGTATTGACAGGATGTCTATTTCATGGTTGAGCGGAAGTTAATGGTAGTGCCACCGACTGGAAGCAAATGGTTGCACTTTATACATTACAGGTATGTCGATATAACTTTAGTATTTAATACACACATCTAAAATTGAGATCAGTGTGATAGAGCCATCTGTACATTTATATACATGTATACATTTTTAAATTAATAATTTTTTATGCATAACTTAATTGTTATTTTACTTAAGTTATTTCAATTAATTTCTATGATTTTGTTTTTGTTATTTTCTTTAAATTGATTGAATAAGCTTCTCAAATCCATTTAAATAGGCTTCTGAAATCCATACATTTTATTTTTATATGAGACTTACATAAGTGTCCCTTTAATAGGGGTTATTTGACCATTTGGCACACTCAGAAAGTGTCCCCCTTAAGAGGGTTGGCCGCAGTGATTGTTTTTTCTCTTTCTGGCAAAGCCACCTTTATTCCCATTATTGTATCATTATTATATAAACCATAAAAATTTACATAAAATCAATATAAGAACATAATAAATTATTCTCAGTTTTCGTACATTTTTCATTTTCATCTTATTTTTTTTACAAATAATTTATTTTAATTTAACACGTTCTATTTTTTTCAATTCGCCTCATTACATTTCCTTTAATCATAAAAATTTGCTTAAATATCTATATAAGACATAACAAATTAATCTCAGTTCTACATATTTTCATTTCCATCTTAATTTTTAAACAAATTAATTTATTCATTTAACAATTTTTAGGTTTTTTTCAATTCACATCATTACATTTCCTTTAATTTAGACTATAGATTCCACCTTAATTTTAGCTCAGCAATGAACATCCTGTTTAAATTAACATTTTTTATTTTACCTTTTGCTTTTAACCATGATTTGTAAATTACATAAGCTAATGTAATTCATTGCTTTTAACATTCTTAACTCCACATACAATATCAGTATACGAAATCATTTTTACATTCTGGTTTTCCAGTTTGTTGATTATGTTAGCTACACAATCCCAATAACCTTTAAGTCTTTGACACTCATAAAACATATGCTTCTCATTTTCCCCCTTTTTTACATAAATTACAATTAGGGTTTTGTTTTATGTTCCATACAACCAACCTCTTATTATTTGGTAAGATTCTATGTAATAAGTTAAAATTCATCTCTGCTATTTTTTTTTCTTTTATTCTGAAGACCTTATTACTCCATATTAAATCCCAGTCAATATGTTTACCTTGAAAGATATTCTCCAATTGCTTTTGGGAAGTTGGTTCACATAATATTTGTTGTATTTGTTTAGCATAATATGTTTTTGAATTAACCTTTAAGAACTCATCGTTTATAATTGAAGGCTTGTTGTTTATCTTATTACATATTTGCTCTATTTACGGTTTTGGTATTGCATCTAAAACCTGTTTTACCTGTATAATCCAATTTCTTTGATTTATAAGAGCTGCTTTTATCATAGTTGTGGTTTTATTCTATTTCCATCACATATATCACCCACATAAATTATATTGGAATTAATCTACTCACTAAAAAACAACGGTTTGTTCTTCAATCTAATGGCTTCATTTCCTCATAGCAGTTGTTTCTTTATTTCATTTACATCTAAATTTCCAAGTTGCGAAATGTTGGTTTTATTTTCTAGTACAATTGATTAAAGCACATCAGCATAAAATTTTTGGAAAATTTTTAAGATGTATATTATCATTTATCTGTAGACAAATAATGTGCATGGGGATTTCAGGGGTGCAAATTTCTGCATATAATACTTTAGAATATCTTTCCATAAACCATCTTCGCCACATAGCCACCTTTTTATCCATTGAAACTTAAGTGCAAGGCATTGAGTGTAGAAATCAGGTGCTTTCAACACACCAACGTTTGTATTTCCAATTAGCGTTTTACGTTTAACCTTTCTGTGGAGTCATTCCAAATGAATTTTAACACAATTCCGTTAAAAATCTTAAAAACCTTTTCTGGGACATCTATCACACTTGCATTATCCATACATTGTCAGACTTGCAATATTAAATGTACATTAAATGATAATTTTAAATGTGGATGAAATTATTCAATGTGTCAAAAATACCAATGATGAATAAAGTACTTACAATTACAATCATGTTCATCATTCCACCGTTTGCAATCTTTCACTCCATCACAAACATAAGATTTTGGAATACAAATGGTTTCATTGGCACAGCGGAAAAAGCCTCCTGGACATCCGTTATCTGAAATAGATGCTACATACTTGAACGCCTTTTCACATAATTTAGAAGATTTTAGGTGATTATAAATTGAGAAAACATTGATCAATAAAAAAAACCTCTCTTGACCAATAAGCAAATTGCAGTTTCTAATACACTGAATGTTGTTTTTTCCATAATTTTTTATGTAATGTTGTGTATGTTGCAGAATTTGGGGGTGGGTCAATTGCCTTAGGTACAGTGATTTGGTTCGTTTTGGTTGACCCTGGTCTCCCCAAATTTCAGTATTATTTTTGTAACTTTCTCTTATGTACATTTTGTTGTTTAACAAACCTAATAAACAATGAAATGAAATGAAAGGGGTGTTTTAAGAAATAATCACTCTATTTTGAACACTGTATTTAAAAACTGAGTTTTTCCCTTCAAATTATTTTTTTAGAAAGAGTTATAAAATGTGTTGTAGAAAACAAAATGATCTAAAGTATTTATATTTACTGTACAAAAACAATTAATCACACTTATTACAAAATACACTATCTTGACATATTAATATAATTCATATTTATAGTTATATATAAAAAAAATCGTTTATGTAAAATAAAAATACATATGGGCAATAGAACACAACATTTTATTCAACAGATATTTTGAACATATTCTAAACCTTTATAATAATATTTCTGGTAAAGTCTCATCTAAACAATGGACCTCCGAACACTTTCCATTCCGCAAAGGCATCTTCCAGGGTGATCCCCTATCACCGATTTTTTTTTTAATTATGTTTTGATCCTATTTTACAATTTTCTAGATAATAAAAGAAAATTTTTGCTATACTGTAGGCCTACTTTTCTGATATATATAGTGACATGAGGAGGGAGGAAAAAAAATTACTGACAACTTTCACAACATGAAACTTGAGCCACGTGAATAAAAAAAATCCGTTTTTGATAACTTACGTTACATGCAATTATTTAGATGTTCCTGTAGCTTGAATGAATCAATATTATTGTTAAAAACTTTTTCACATAAAAATTATGTAATGAACTACTACATACAGTACTAACTGAATTGAAAACCTTCCTGTAAATTAAATAACATGTATTGAAAAATTGCATTATTTTCAGGTAAATTTTGCATCGTTTTGGTTTTCGGCTCAGATTTTGCGTAGACATCCTGTAAACTATTAGATTTTAGTTTTTCCACGCACGTTCTTTAATATACAATGCAAATTGGAGACATTTGGCTTGCTTACATTAACTTTATTTTTTTATCCACTTTTTCATGGAATTGCCCATATATAGATTAAAAAAACGAAAACACGAAATATGTGTTAGTGTTTCAAAAGTCAAATCTCTATGTCAAATGTGCATAAGACAGTATCATATGCACATATATGTGCATTACCATATGCACATATAACATATGAATTGTTACTTATACAATCTTATGCTGTACTTATATAATATCTCGTATGATATATATATGTATATATATATAATTATAATATATATAATTATAATATACAACCATATCTATAGCCCCGTTTCCCAAACTGTTTCTTCTGGCACCTAAGTTATGATATCCCACACTCTCGACGTGACCCATCTAATAATTTGATATTAAATGTACAGTGACTTTTATAAGACCACCGAGATCGGATGCTGACGTTTTAAAAATGACTACTCGACATCGATTTTTGCTTACCATATCAGTGGCCGAATTCATAATAGAGGGGGCTGAGAGACGGACATTTGCGCATAGCGCCCCAGTTCAGACAACTATGGTTGGGGCTGACGTAAGACCTTTTATGATTATGGTATCTAAATGGCCGGAAATAACACTCTTAAGAATTAAATTTGAATACAATTTTCTTTTGAAAAATTTAGGGGGTCTTACTTGAATTTGTCACTGTTGATAGTCCCTCTTCACTACAATGTTAAAATAAGAAACTTGAGTTAAAAAAAAAGATTCCAAGCTCAAGCCTGACTGACCTAAAATCCCGAAAATATAGCATAACATATTTCCAATTTTTAGTTAATATATTTGATAAACGTAAACCATAAACTTTTAGCCCTGTGATTACCATTATATCAACCAAAATACACCGGGGCAGTGGCGTTTTCTAGCCATCGGATCTGTTAAATTCATATCAACCGTGTTCATTAGCACATATGAATTGACAATCTGTTTGCAAGCCTGCTCGCGACCCATAATTTGGGAAGCGTGGCTACAGTATATGACAATGAATGAAATTCTATACATAGCAAAAGTAATAATGCACTGAGTAATGATAGCAAGTCAGGCAATATAGACGATCTACTAAAACATTTTAACAGCTTTGGAAACTATTAATGAACAGGAATGATTAAGCAATAATAAAACTAGCATGTACATTTGTTACACAAATGAAATAATTGAAATATGATGTTTCTGGTGTCAATACGTACCACAAAGGGCTTCATCCTCGCCATTAAGGCAATTTTCTATACCATCACAAACTTCATAGTACTCTAGGCATATACCTGTGTCAGTGCACGTGTACTGTACATCGGTGCATGCTGGGAAAGGCAGACGAAGATGTTAGGAAAGAAAGAAAAACTAAAAAACTAAACTTACTATGTCGGTTTGTACAACAGGACACAGGGCCTTTCCTCGTTGCCATAATGAGAAATAATGTTGAAATTGCAACAACAAAATCATTAAAGATTATAATGTAAAAATAGCGAGGGTGATATGGAGAACCATTGCGCGCTATATGAGCCGACCTTGAGTAGGTCGGTGCATTTGTAGTTCATAGTAGTTCAGTGATTGAAAGCGAAAATTGTTCATGCTTATCACGTAATTTTGCATTTAATCTAGCTGCAGTTGATTTAACTATTCTACAAGTTTCATTTAGATCCATTTATAAATTATTAGGGGTATTTAGGTCTGGGACCTTAGCAATTTTAATGACCATGAAATTCACACCCGAATGTAGATTGTCACTAAGATTTATAAAATACTGTCAGAAAGTTTCATCCAGATCAGTTTTTGGGATATCTGAACTGGGATGTCTGCCGTTACATGACCCTCACGACAACACCCTACGCTGGATCGCAACTAACAATTATTTTTTTAGTGGTCCATGACAAACCATTCTGTAGAGTTTCATTTTGATCCATTGGTCACTTTTTGAGATGCCTAAACTTCCACACCTGAGTATGTATCATCTTCAAGTATAATAATTTCTTCTTTGTAACTTGGTTAAACTTTCCCAAAAGTTTAATTCAGATCATTTTATTCTTTTTTAAACATCTGGTTTAGAACGTTTTCTTTTGAATGGTCCTCATCCACACCCTACTCCGGATCGTCACAAAATGTTATCTTTACTAGACCTTGACAAACTATAGAAAGTTTTATTTAGACCCACTGATAGGTTTTTTTTTTAGAGATATTAAGTCTTGGACGTCAGCATTTTAAATGACCCTCACATTTACACCCTAAATTGGATCGTTACCAACACATAGTAATATTTTCCTTGTAACCTGGTCAAACTTTCCCGAAAGTTTCATTCAGATCGGTTGATCCGTTTCAGAAATATTTGGTCGGGGACGTTTTCCTTTCAATGGTCCTCATATCCACACTCTACTCCGGATCGCCACAAAAATGGATCGTTAGAAATTAAAATGACCCTCATATTTACACCCTAAAGTGGATCGTCATCAAAGCAAAATGATTTTGTCCTTGGAACTTGGTTAACCTTTCCCGAAAGTTTCATTCAGATCGGCTGACCTTTTTTTGAAATATCTAATGTAGAGCGTTTTCCCTTAAATCCTTTTAATTGGTCCTCACATCCACAATCCACTATAGATTGACATTAAATATTAGAAGGGATCCTCGATATATGGTTTGTGCTTTGACAAAGTATGGAAAAGGTCCAAGCATGGAAAGTGACCAAACTACAGGGCAAAAAGATAGGAAAAACGATATGAAAGAAAAAATTAAATAATCAGAACAAAAACAGTAGCATTTCGAGCTACTGCTGGGAAAATTCAATGAACAGAAATAAGATTGTTTGAATTGTATTTATTGGATGCAATCAATTCAGATTACTTTGTTCATTATTATTATACAACACTGAGAATACATAACACAGTACTGTACTGTCCGACGACATAATGTTTGAGTCATGAAAAAAACAAAGACAATTTGTTTTCTCTGCTAAAGTAGAATGGTAATATCTGCATATATATATAATATACAGAAAAATAGCAAACATGATTTTGTTCCGACATGCTGTACGTACAGACCTACATCAATTTTACAAATAGCAAATTTGATTGCATATAAAATCATCATCATCATCCCATAGTCAAGTTGACCGTTGGGACACCGTAGATGACCTACCAACCAGTTCCTTCCATCCTTCTCGATCCTCCATCTTCCGTAGTGTGTCACTTAGCTTTAAGCCTGTCCATTCTGTGATGTTGTCTTCCCATCTCTTTCTTTGTCTACAAGTTCCTTGCAGGAATGTTTTGGCAATTCCGGACGATCTTGATATGTGACCGTACCACTTTAATTTTCTTTTCATTACAATGGTCATAAAATATGAGTATCTAATACCTCAATACAATGTTGTATTCATTAACAGTTTATTTGGTGTGTTCTTTTATTGGCTGGATTATTTTAGAAAGCATAACAGCAAATTCATGCAATAACACAACTTACTGCAATTGGATTCATCCGTGTTATCCAAACAATCCTCATGACTGTCGCAGGTTAGTCCAAATGGAATGCATTTACCATCAGTACATTGGAAGTCCTCTTGTGCACACACTGTGAATAATAATGGTAATGTTGATATTTTAAATACTCTATTGGTTAATTACCATATAAATTATTTGCATTGTTGGTAACATTGTCAATTAGTTATCGATTAATTGATTTATTGAATACACCTCAAAAAGAGGAGAGTAAAACATAAACACACAATACATATGAAAAAACCCCGAAAAAACAATGACAATGTTTATGAATCAGTTGAAATTATATATTTAACGTACATCCAAAGCCTTAATTATTTTGTTCATGTCACAACACAAATTAATAAAAACCAATAGCTTTGAGGCTAGGAGTCCGATTCTATGTGGTCGTTTGGATCTACAGGTGTTTTGAATTTTCTTACGTTCACTTTTGAATACCACGACCACACCCCCGATTAAGGGGACGGGGAAATTTTCTGAGAGCGCCAAATGATTGTATAAGCCCTATTAAGGGGACACACATATATTTTGACACCTTTTGAGAAATACACTATAAGTTACGGTACTTATCCTAAGAGTACACATCAGTATAGGCCTAATGTATGTGTTGCTTCGTATAAACCAATCTCATCAATTTTGACCCTTAACCATAGGATTTCTTTTTCTTTGTTTTTCATGTACTTTCATATAGGATTCTAATCCATTCCGTAAAATTTACCCTTAATTCAAGTCGTTACTCTATTCATGCAACATTTATCAATTGGAAAGCTCAATATTAAAAATTTAAAAAAAAAGAAAATTTGTTTTTAACATTGCATAATGAAATAATATTTGGAGGATATATAACTATTGTTGATTGAATTGCATTTCAGTGACTTCATATTATAAATGAATTGTATTTGAATTTTAAATAGTAGTCAATCTCTTCATGAAACACCTTGGACAACTTGCCATAACATCCGCTTTTGATCCCATCAAACCACGGTTTTGGACCAGATGTTGATGATGTACTTTACATCATACAATCCAAACACATTACTAAAACACTAAACCATGTAAAGAGTATAAACAAGCATTCAACATGGAGCCCATGACAAACAATATTTTATTCTTTTAGACATCAGTATCCATATTACATCTGACTATACATTAGACACTAAGGTCTTCAGAAAGCCAACATACACACCAATACCTACACTATACTAATCATAATCCCATCCAGCACAAGCTAAGTGTAGTCTGTACTCACATCAATAGGAAAGATTCCTCAATGTTTGTAGTTACTCCATTTTTTTGGAGTGTCTGCGCCCTCCACAAAACTCCGATTTTGGAGATTTTGCGTACTATTACTTAAACAAGCTCCCTCTATATAGAGAGAGCAAAACTTTAATTCAACCCTCCGATTTTTCGGGTTTTGCGTACTATAAGCGAAAACTCAAAAAGTGTAGATTTCAAATTTTTGAGAATTTTACAATACGCAAAACCTCCAAAATCGGAATTTTCAAACGTTTAACCAACCCCGAGTCAGATTTAGGAGGTTTTGCGTACTATACGCGAAAACTCCGAAATCGGAGTTTCAAAATTTTCAATAAAACCTCCGATTTCGGAGTTTCTGTGTACTATGTGCGAAAACTCCAAAATCATAGATTTCAAACTTTCAATCAAACCTCCGTTTTCGGAGTTTCTGCGTACTATACGCGAAAACTAAAAAATCTGAGTTTTCAAACTCTGAATGAAATCTCCATTTTCGGAGATTCTGCGAAGGCCTATTATTAAATAAAACAAAGCTCTTTCCATATTAAGAGCAAAACATTTAATCAACCCTCCGATTTCGGAGGTTTTGCGTACTATACCCTAAAACTTCAAAATCGGAGTTTTCATACATTTAACCAACCCACAGATTTCGGAGGTTTTTAGTACTATACGCAAAACCTACGAAATCGGACGTTTGATTAAAAGTTTTGCCATGCTCGTTTTGCTCTCTCTATAGGCCTATAGAGAGAGCTTGTTTAAATAAAAGTTTTAAAACTCCGATTTTGAAGTTTTTGCCTATAGTACGCAAAACCTCCAAAATCGATGCGGGCAAAGATACTCCAATTTCGGAGTAACTACATACATACCTCAGATAATCTTATCACAGACAGAGAAGACCAAAGCAGAGACGAACAAACCATAAAAGAAGCGTTACACTCTTTTGGTTACCCTTCGAGAACAATAGACAACGTAAAAGCACAAATGAATGTTAAGGGGCAACAAACAACAAAGAGAACACAAAGACAAACAAGAGAAAAAACTAGGGGAAACATTTGTATCCCATATGTTAATGGGCTATTTGAAAAATTAAGAGGACTCTAAAAATCACAAAATAACAGGGTATTAAATAAGCCGACAAATAATCTACATATTTTGTCCACTCCCCGGAAAAAATCCAGATGATGAAGTGTACTAGGGCATTTATTCAGTTGGATGTCAAAATTGCCAGGCTGTGTACATCGGGGAAACAAAAAGGCCATTTAAAATTAGACTAAATGAACATAAAAATGAAAGCAACTCCATCAATAATGATCATTCAAAAAAAGACCAGATTTGAAAACTAAACCAGCCCTTCATGGAGGTACGGAAGAGACATTTATGTAAGCAGATATCACAAGGTTGTTTTTATCTTTGTTTTGGTTGCCCATAAACTGCAATCCAACCGGCTTCACCGCTTTGCCCAGTTGGTCCACTTTTACACAGCCTATACTCCTTTGAATCTTTACAGTTATTTGTAGTAAAGTGTTCGGCAGAAATATGAAAGTTGGGGGAGGGAGTGATCCAAGTGGCCTCTCTCAGACCAAATTGTACTGGGGAATGGACATTGGCACCAGAAAAACAGGCGTATGTCATTGGTAAAGCTCCGTAGCAAAGTGCTATGTAATAGCAGTGACCCTAAGGGCTCCCTGAGAGCTCATGCGCTATGTCACTGTTTATACATCTGATTAAAACGATGACTAAAGAGTATCAAAATTCCTCGCAATGAACATGTGTGAAGCTTAATAAAAAAAATACTGGATTTTAAGAGGGCCTTTAGAGGGTTTTTCACTTATGAATTTGAGCAGGAGTTTAAACTGATATTAATTAACAGTTTATAAATTTAAAAAAAATTATGAAGAATAATTTTGCATTTCAACTGCAAATTGATTCATTGATTTTGTGTATTAAGCACATCAAATATTAAAATTTCATGTAAATTAATGGGAACAATGCAAATATACTGAACAAATATAATATTACATTAAATATGTAAATGAATAATTAGCATAATCATGCAGGTACAAAAATCAATAAGCTCCGTCTTCTTATTACCGACTTGTATTCTGCCAAACTTGAAATCAATCGAACCTACAAAACGTTAGTTATCGTGGTAAAAGTTTACTATCAACAATAAAAATGATAGCGACATCGTCAGGGAAAAAAAAGCATGGGCAGACACAATAGCCTCCCTGTAGTATTTTATTGCATAATATATATGTCATCATAAGAGACAGATATATATATATATAAATTAATTAATTGTTTATAGAGAAGTAATCTTACTTCCACCTGCAGCTAAGCATCTAGTCGCTGGTAAATCTTCGCATGTGATTGGTTTTGTAAAATTCAACTCGAGCTGTAAAGTTATAAATGCATCTTGACAAGAACTGATGACATCAATACAATGGTCAATACATGGTTCATATTCGTAGCCATCACATTCAGGGAACAATAAGTTGCACATTAAAGACACCATGTTGCCATGGCAGGATGCACAAGGGAGAAGTCGGTTAATTACTTGATCCGCAAGTTCAAATGATTGAGAGTAAGCATTTGGAAAAGCAGCATAGGCATAAGGCAAATAACTGCCACAGCTTTTAACATTTATAGGGTGACATACGTAAGATGGCAAATCTGTAAAAAGAAAATACACATGAACATTTTGTTTAACAGGCTTAAATTCAATATTGAAAAATATAATTTAAAACCAGATCATTTGCTTCAAAGGATTGTTTCTACTGCACCCCCCCCCCAAAAAAATAAATAAATAACCCTTGAAATAGGACCAGTATAAATGGTTTTGAAATACTGTTTAAAACATAATTTTACTGTGCGTCGTTTGCAATTTTTTCTTGTTAATAAAGTAATACAGACAAGTGCAACTGTGCACATTATAAAGAATCAGAGACAATCAGTGCACTCGTTTATGAGTTTACTAGATTGCAAAGAATCAGAGCCAATCTGTGCACCGTTTGCAAGTTTGCTTGTTTAACACATATATTTATTCAACTTTTTTTATTCTGGATGGCATGCCCAATGTACAAGAATATACAAAAGTGTTTTTTAATTGAAAAAGAAAAATGTATGTTCCATTCCGTATCAATGGAAAAAGTCAGTCCACCAAAACCACATGTATAAAGACAAAAAGGGACATTAAAAGAAAAATAAACAGGTCTATGAACATACTGGTTAACTACAGATCGTTCTGACTGAAAAAGTCTTGTTGAGTGCGCTTTGTTGCAAGACATTTAGTGTTGATGATTATGATGATGTTAAAAAAAAACATGAATTAAATACAAAATAGAGGAGAGGCCTATAAACTAAATGAAAGCATTTTTTAAAATACTTCAGAAATTTTGGAAATCTCTAGTTATGTTGCTGGTAGTTAGTTCCAGTTCATAGATGCTTAAGAATAAAAGGTCCATTTTCCTTGACATATGTGCACATAGTGGAACTAAAAGATGATTATTTGTCTGACTTTGAGTGTTTTTAATCAATTTCGAGAAAAACAAACAAAAATAATAATGTATTTCTCCCTCAGTTATTCAGAGATGTAAGCTGGGGATCAAAAGTAACACTCAAGTATTTAAAAGAATCAACTCTTTCAATAAAGTTATCAAAGCTCACAGAACATTATTAAATTTGGAAATATTTGATGTTGTTTCAAAAATCATAAATTTTATTATCACAACAGAGTGGTGTCGTCACTGTGCATAACAGATTAACATGAAATGCTGTTTGGGAGAGAATAAACATAAATTATCCAAAACAATATGATAATTAAGGGGTTTTAAAGGCATATTTAATCAATTTTCGAGTCTACTAATAATGTAGAAGATACATATACATTTCTTTTTCTCCCCGACAAATTGTTTTTTTCTCTCCGACATGGGAGGGTGGGGGTGCAGCTCTTCCAGACGGGGGTCCCACTGGTGCCACCCCCGACGAAAACATGAAGACGAACATAGATAAAAACAATAGCCTCCGCACGTTGGGAGGCACGTTGAGGCTATCTAAAATAGGTTTATTAACTACTACTGTACTACTAATCAGTACCGTAATTCATACCTGTATTTTGGCAGGAAGATTCATCAGATAAATCAGAACAGTCATTGTATTCATCACAGTAATAGATGCTTCGTATACAATGATTGTTAGAACATAGAAAACCACTACAATACCCTATAAAAGGTAAAGGTAAAGATGAACAATCAATACACCAGAATTATACCTAATTCTATGTAAACTACTTATTTCAATCTGGGTACTTGGACTTTATTTTATTTATTTTTTTAAAAATATGTACAGTATTCTTATTTCCTATTTTCTAGTGCCTATTTAACTGTTTTTATTAAACACTATTATACTATATACTAGTACATTAAATGCAAACATTTAAATATTTAGACCAACTTCTAGCATCGCAGATTGAAGCACCGCATGGCATTAATATAAAATATATACGACTACTATGATTAACCTACAAAATAGTAACATTTATAAGTCGAAGACATAGATTGGACTAAACTCCCAAAATTAAAAATCTAATTTTAAAAGATTAAAATGCCAAATTTCATTAATGATATAATACCTGGTGCAGATAAGCAGTTTGTATCTGGTAAAGCCAAACAAGAAATCTCAAAAATGTTGTTATTCTGTGTTACAGCTTGAAAGGATCGTGAACATGCTGAAAGAACGTCTTGACACATTGCATCACATGGGTGCACTGGAGCTCCATCATCATCGTCACACCCTTGATACACAAGTGCACAAATAAGTCTAAAAAATACAACAATGGGTCCCTATTCAGTCAATTTGATTAATAGTATACAGTAACGAAACCAGAAGGGTGAAGGGGCGTTAAGCCACCACTTGTATCCTCTTGTCTCAATAAATTTAGTTGTAATCATGTTCAGAAAACAATTACAAACCTACAATAAAAAGGTAAAGAAAGGGAACATCGAAACCATGATTATCATTTAGTATTCATTTTAATTATTAGTTATTAAATATAATTATTATTATTACATTTATTATTTTTATTATTACATCATTATTACTAATCAGTAAAGAATACAAGTATGCAGATACGAAGGTTCATCAGATTAATGAGGAGAGTCTGTATATTCATCACAGTGATAGCTGCTTCGTATAGAAATAATGATTGATAAAGAATTATAAAATATTAACACGTAAAAATCTTTCTTTGAAACAATTTTATTGAGATCTTAACCTGTGTAAACATAGCTATAATTACAACTAATTTGATATTATTATTAAAGACCTTTAATAGCTTAATTCTAGTTTACTAAAACAATCAATATCACATAAAAATCGCATTAATAGATTTTATGTACTGTATGTCAATTAGATTGAATGAATAATTAATTGAATTAAACAGAGAACTTTTATTTGTATTTTATTATTTAATAATGAAGAAAATGATGGTGTTTTTTTTTCAAAACCTACCTCATTGAATGCTGGTGGCAGCTCGCTTCACTTTTAAACTCGTTTAGCAATTCTTCAGCTTGTTGTGTGTTATGTGCATATGTGTTTGGGAATATAGCCTTATGTGAGATAAGGATGTCACCACATATCACACTAGTAATGTTGTAACATTGGGGAGGAACTACTGGCTCCTCTACAAAGAAACACAAAATATGTTATTTTCATTAAAAATAATTCCTACCAATGTATTTTATTTTGACCAAAACAATTAAATTTGCATATTTGATATTGGACTGGAGTTGAATATCTTGGTGGTTAAGATGCTTGCTTTATAATCTAGGGCCCAGTGTTTTAGTCCACTTCCTAAGCCTCATATTGAGATTTAGTTTGTGTAAAACATTGTAAAAGCCATTGTCACTATTAAGACAGAGATATATACGCTATTGGCAATCCTTGGTGAGTGGGTAAAGGATAAAATCAAAATAAAGAATAATATACACTAAAAATTGGAATAGTACTACAAGTAGTAATAAATACCAGTAATTTTGTGGCAATTATCTTGGTTTTTGCATTTAAAATAATTCTGATATATAATCCTGCATAAATATTTGGTTTAACAAAAATGTAGACATTCTAATTATTTCAAATATAATGTAATATAGTTTGATGTATATAGCGCTTTATACCTGTGTGGGTGGTCAAATTGTACAGGGTTCTTTTATGTGCACACGAGCCAAATTGTGTACACTGAGCCTACACTTTATACTTATCCGAAAAGACTTGTTCAACCACCACAACCATAGGCGGGCGTGCCGCTCGAACCAGAGCCAATATTATGACTTCGGTCAACTCGACAAAAATAACTTTATTTTGCCCTAGCTTGACTGACCCAGCATCTCAAAAATCTATGGTTGGCGCATTTTTAAAAATACATTTGTCTTACCAGGAAGCCTAAAATTCTTAAACAGACTACTATTTTTCGAGCTTGAAAATGGATTTGATAAATAATATTTGCTTTGTTACAGTTCAAGAAACCAAGACATAACCATATAATTTATGTTTACCAGTCATTTTCAAACAATCTGCTTCATCAGAGCCATCTAGACAATCAGGATCACTGTCACATCTATAGCTTCCTTCAATGCAGCTCCCATCATTACACATAAATGAATTGCCACTACATGTTCCTGTTTGAGAAGGATAATTACATTTTGAATATGCCTAACCATAATAGTAATGAATACTATCAATTTTAAGGAAAATTTAAATTGTTACAACCCTAACCCATTGTCCATCAATTTCAGAAAAAAAGGGCCATATATAGAATTAAATTTTTGTTATAATATATTTGACACAAAAATAAAACACATTTACAGTAAATAAAATGACACACAGAGTGGCTAAAGTGAGACATGGGCAAAGCCCAACACGATGATTGTTTACTCCGAACTCTTAATACAATTTACATAAATCAAAAAGTACAATAACAATTTAAGTTAAAAAGTTTATACACAAGAAAAATTCTAGTACTTTTGAGGGGGGTCCGTGAACATTTCCTTCCTACTTTCTTTTCTCGATAGATTTTGCAAACGGAACCATATTAAAAGAAAATTAGTTCCTATGTACCTCTGAAAAATGTCGAAATAAAAATGGCTGCCGAAGCCATCTTGAAAATCATAAAAATCATGTCTGTCATGTATATCTTTTTAGCAAGGTTTGCCTAGGTCGAAACTAACTCCGGATAGGCCTAAATAAAATTAATTAGAAGATTGAACAAGTTATTTTTGTTAATGAATAGATAAGGATTACTAGTATGTCCATTTTTATTTATCAAATCTACGCAAATTTACTTTCAGAGTATATATTTCAATAATGAAAGTTGTTTACATATTTATTTGGCTAGCTTGAACTGTTCTTAGAAATTTAGGTTTGTCAAAATATTTTACAGACATTTTTTATTTATGGTTTGGTAACTAGCCTATCATTTTTTATCTCTTCTTCCTCCTCGTCCTCCTCTTCCTCCTCCTCATCATCGTCATCCTTATCATTATCGATGATCATCATCATCATAGACAAAGCATTATAAATGTCAATGTCAAAGACAAATGCAGATTTAAAGACGCAACTTGTCATTACTGCAAGAAGGTAGGCTACATTGCCACAGTTTGCTTAAGTACAAAGAGGGGCAAGCCACAAACAGTTAAAACTGTTTGCACTGATACTTCTGACAATAGTCCTATAGATGACACATATGAGCTAATGTTTGGACTTCACGCCAAATCAAGTTTTCCACCACTCAAAGTTAATATTGTACTTGATGGTTTTGAACCTGAAATGGAAATTGATATAGGCGCATCTATTTCAAAAATGTCCGATGAAAAATTTAACTCATTATGGCCAGAGAGGCAAAACTAAAATCATCCGAAAAGAAATTGCCCACATATACAGGCCAAGAAATTGAAACATGTTGAAGTTAAATATCATGATACTATTTGCATCTTACCCTTGACAGTTGTAAAGACTGACGGAACTAGCCTAATAGGACGTAATTGACTAGGCCTACAGCTATTAAAACTGGACTGGCAACTAATTAAGGTAATAAACAATCTTGGTTTAAACGCTATCCTGGCCCAGTTTGGTAAGGTATTTAAGGAAGAATTAGGTACTTTGAAAGATATCGAAGCCAAAATTCATGAGAATGAAGATGTCTTACCCAGATTTTGTAAAGCTGGGGTAGTTCCCCATGCCATGCGCAACAAGGTTGATGACGTATCAACAGTTGTTGTTAGACAAAGATTCCCGCAAACATGTTGTTATCAATACTTAAAAGGGACTGTATCAATACACTCGTTTACCATTTGGAGTATCTTCTGCCCCAGCAATTTTCCAAAGTGTAATGGAAGGAATTCTCCAAGGACTGAAAGGTGTCACTGTTTATTTAGATAACATTTTGATAACAGGCAAAACGATGCTGAGCATTTGCAAACCCTTACTCAGGTTCTGAATCGCCTGAAAAATTCAGGGCTCCGACTCAAAAAAAGCAAGTGTGTTTTTATGGTTCCGTCAGTGGAATATCTTGGGCACACAATTGATGCACAATGATTGAACCCTACAGACACCAAAGTGAAAGCAATTAAAGAGGCACCAGAAACAAAGAACCTTACGGAATTTCGCGCCTACTTAGGATTGATATCATGGGAAGTTCTTGCGAACTTGTCTAATACCCTCGCTCCGCTATATGAATTACTCCATAAGGATAAGGTTTGGACTTGGGGAAATTGGAACAAATTACTTTTGATAAGTCAAAAGAATTACTTTTATCTTCCAGGGTACTCGTACATTACGATCACAAAAAGGAAATTATATTATCATGTGATGCTTCTAAAAATGGAATAGGTGTTGTTTTAGCACATATCGCCAAAGTGACGGGCCTGAAAGCCCTGTTGCCTTTGCATCGAGAACACTTGCGGACGCAGAGAAAAAGTATTCGCAAATTGAAAAGGAAGGACTACAATGTGTTTTTGGCGTAACTCGATTTTATTCATACATTTATGGTCGACATTTTACCTTGGTAACGGACCACAAACCATTGCTAGGGTTGTTTGATGAAGATGGAATTGTACCAACTCAAGCGTCAGCGCGAATTCAGCGATGGGCATTAAAATTAGCAACCATACATTACGTTTTAAACCAACTCAAGCTCACGCTAATGCCGATGCACTCAATCGTTTACCATTACCAGATACTTTCTCGTATTTTGTTCTATGTCGAGAAAGGCTGGCCTGATATTATTCCGCATGAAGATAACTTAAAAGCATATAAGCATATTGGACACGACGTGCAGAACTGTCTACACAAGATGGTCGTATCTTGTGGGGAAATAGAGTCGTTATTCCACCGTCTGGTAGAGCACAACTTTTACAAGCACTACATGACAGTCATCCTGGTATAGTAAAATTTAACAGTTTCGCTCGTGTATCTTTGTGGTGGCCAAACATGGATCAAGATATAGAGGCCATATCGAAACAATGTGATAGTTGTCAACGTAATCAGTCATTACCAGCAAAAGAACCACTACATCCATGGAGCTGGCCCAATCGACCGTGGTCGCGACTGTATATTGACTATGCCGGCCCATTTATGGGGAAAATGTTTTTGATTTTTGTTGATGCATATTCTTAGTGGCTCGAGGTAATTCCTGTAAATTACTCTACAACTTCCACTACTGTAGATAAACTTAGACTAGTATTTGCATCTCATGTATTGCCAGATAAATTTGTTTCTGATAATGGAACTTGCTTTAAGAGTGACGAATTTAAGACATTTTTTATCCAAGAATGGTATTAAACATAGTTTAATCGCACATACCACCCTTCATCTAACGGCCTCGCCGAACGTTCTGTGCGCTCTTTAAAGGAAGCATTGAAAAGAGCAACAACTGGTTCCATCGAAATAAAGGTAGCACGTTTTCTTTTTAGGTATAGGAATACACCACATAGCACTACTGGGAAAACCCCAGCAGAATTACTTATAGGCCGGAAGATGAAAACCCATTTGGATCTGTTATTATTACCTTATGTTGCGGATCGAGTTGCCGATCTTGTCGAAAAACAGAAGTTCGCCATGTTCAATATCGTTCATTTGTTGAGGGAAGGAAGTGTATGTGAGAAATTTTAGAGGACAAAACCCAAAGTGGTTACCGGAGAAGATAATTTCAGAATCTGGCCCAATCTCATATAAAATTAAGTTAACAGATCGGCGTGTTTGCCGTCGTGCCGGTCACATACGAAAACGTTTCAGTAACCCTCAGTAACATACAGAACAACCTACGGATCTGGAAAGTGTTGAGCCACCTACGATAAGTCTGCCGGACTTACCACCACTACTCAATAACCCAAGCAGAGTAGAAATTCAACAAACACCCGTTGAGCCAACACCGACTGTTAGGCCAACCCCAAGTTTATATCCTTTGCGAATTAGAAAACCACATGACCGTTACGGATATGATACAAACAAGAACTGATTATAATTACTCATTTATTAGAGTTACTATTAGTTGAATATTATAATGGCCATACATTTAATGAGCATATTATTGGACAATTTACTATTCTTTTTATAATCACATCATTGATTCTATTTTATGTTGATCATATTGCCTATCCATTTTATGCAACTTTTGCTGGGATGTGTTGGAATTTCATAACAGATGATGGACACCACTGGTGATTGTATATTTAGAATAGGAAGTTCGTAAATACTTATATACTGCTCCCAGAAAATGGTTAAATTAGAAGGGAGAGAATGTAATATATTGAACCCTATAGTTTACCTATTGAAACCTACAGTCCATCTGTTACTATAATAACCGATTGACCACTAACACACACACTTTATATTAAAGTACCAACTTTGGGGTTTTTTGGCATTCCTTTCTATTTACGCACTTGTATATACTGTTTATAACATTTTTGAATAAAGCACTTTAGATCTAGCTACTAGACGAGTCATAGTTAACCTCTCTCTGTCTTCAGTCATTTGCATTCATCACATTAGTAGTTTAATATAACAAAACATTACAGGCCCATTCTATTTTTTGGGGAAAAAAATAGGAAGTACCAGAACCAGAATGCATACCAAAAAATTGTTTAAGAAAAACTTGTAAGGTCCCTTCAATGTGGAAAAGATTTCTTTTCACAAAGAATTATCAACATTGGATGTCTCCCTAGAAGCTCCCTCGGTGAACTAGACTAGATCCTTTCCCGTTCCTCCTTGAATAAACAGTTAGAGCTAATACGATGTCTAATTACAAAACTGTATGGATCAGTTTCTCCAGAATTCATAGAATCAAGGGACATTATTAATAATAATAATAAGAATCATATAAGCAATTATATATTTTTATAAACATGGAAAGTAATTATAGTTGTAGATATTAATTTAATTTATTTTACATAATGAATTTAGAATTTAGTTTTATAGATTAGTAGATTTTGGAATTTTAATATACTTATTTTATTTTTATTAATGTGAAATGTGTATTTCTCTGAATTGCAAATAACAACGAAATTTCTCTATTATTGTAAATCTTTTTGTAACTGGCTTCTGTATTTCCGTTATTGTATTATTATTGGTTTGATTTTACTACTTTTATATTGTAAATTACTATAATTATTGTGAAATCTTTTATATTTCTGATGTTGGTCTTGTGAAGCGCTTTGATCATTTCTGGAAAAGCGCTATAAACATATTATTATTATTATTATTATTATTATTATTATTATTATTATTATTATTATTATTATTATTATTATTATTATTATTATTATTATTATTATAAAGAAGTCAAGTCACCGAATACTTCACGTTCGGACAAGAATAAAAGGGGTAAGTTGGATATTGCATATATTCCTCTAAAGAACTATAAATGTGATTAATATTTTTTTTATAATGTAATATAAGCCATCTTCCTTAGGCAGGTGTTATATTAAGTAAATATAAATCAAACCGATATTACCACAATTGATCCTATTTTGAGTAAGTGACTTACCTAAACCATTATGGCTAGCAGGATGCATACAACAGATAGATGTGCCGGCAGAAATAAGAATACCGAAGGCAATGTACAAGACTACTCCAGACAACATGGTTGGAAATCAAGAATCACACGCCAGCTACTTGTATCATACGTTTATCCGTTACGCTAAAGAGTGGACGAATGATGAACAACCTTGCAAAGTGGATTTAGTTTCATTTGATTTGCCTATTATAGCATAAACGGATACTAGCTGACATAGTCTGACGAATTCATGTTGATAACATCGACGGAAACTTGCAGTAAGTTTACATATCCATTGTGCCAGATTTTATAATAATCGGGGAATAGTGAAAATTAATAATAATGATGATGATGAGAATGATTAGGAGGATGAGGAAGGTGAAGAGAATGGGGATGAGGATGAGGGCGCTTTTTAAATCTTATTATTACCTCCGCCAATTGGCAGGAGGTTATTTTTGCCTGTTTATTTATCTGTCTGTCGGCTTGGTGTGAACAGCATACAACCCATAGTTTTTATCAGAAAGTCATCAAACTTGGCCACAATGTTGCTTTACCTAATATCTAGAGCTGAATAAATTTTGAAGGGTCAGGGTCAAAGCTCAACGTTACAATCAACAAAAATCTATTTTTTTGTTTGTCTACAGCCCATAGTTTTAATTACAAACTTGTCAAACTTGGTCACAATGTTCCATAACCGAAGATCTCATTACCTCCGCCAACGAAGTTGGCAGGAGGTTATGTTTTCCCCCATGTTTATTTATTTATTTAATTTATTTATTTGTCTTGCGGCATATTTGTTGTAAACAGCCTATAGCCCATAGTTTTTATCAGAAATTCGTCAACCTTGACCACAATGTTCCTTTACTTAAAGTCAGGCTCCGGAGGGAAAACATTTTTTGATATGTTGTAGAACTGATTTTTCTAAGACAGAAAAAAGTAGTTTGATCAAAAACTGAGCAACGGTGAATGAGATACAGATTTTTGAATATTTAAAATCTGGGGGAAAAAGGTGTAAAAATGGGTGGTTACGCCCCAGTTTTTAAATATTAAAAAATCTGTATTATTTTGCGGTACTCATTTTCACAAAGGAATACACTCAGCTGGTTAGCTAACTAACAATATTCAAATTTACATGAACACCTGGGAAGAAAGGTGCAATCACGTTTTTTTGCCTAGCGAACGTCTGTACTGTAGCGTGTGTGTGTGTGTTGGGGGGGGGGGGGGGGCTAGCCTACAGATGTACTGCGTATAGCGGGGGACGATGAAGCATAACTAGAGGGCCTAAGAATAATTCAGTTGCAGACGTACCTTGTTTAAGTATTATATGCTAACTATGCGGCTCTTATAGCCCTAGCTAGGCAAGGCATGTGCAAAGCAGTGGTGTTTGTTTATCCATGAAAAAAGCACGCCGGGAAAGTTTGCCTTACCAGGAAAAGGAGACGTAATGTAGCTTATGTCGTATGCATGCTAACTATAGCGTGAGTGTGACGTCACCAAAAAATAAATTTTCTATTATAACTAAAATATTAATAACTACAAGGTTTGTGGGCGTAAATTCCCTTAATACGAATTAATGGTAGCACCATCTCCTTGCCATACAAATGACAGCTCCCATTGACGTCTCAGTCGAGAAATACGGGTAGCTGATGTTTTCTCGAAAATCTGACTACGAAACCATATCGAAATTCACGTTCCACTCCTGACTCTTGAGTTGTGCTTCGCACACGCCGCTGAGGGTGGCGTTCCGGGAATCCTGCGTCTAGATCTGATTAAATGTTGAAGGGTCAGGGTCAAATATCAAGGTGACAATCAACGAAAAACTATTTTTTAAAATTTATTTGTCTACAGCCCATATTTTAATTACAAACTTGTCAAACTTGGTCACTATGTTCCATGACCAAAGATCCCAAAATGTTTGAATGTTGAAGGGTAAGGGTTAACTTTCAAAGTCACAATAAAAAAACCGATTTTTTTTTTTTTAAATAGTTTTTATCAAATATTTGTCAAACTTGGCCACAATGCTCCTTTACCAGAGATCTGGAATTGACTAAATTTTAAAGGGTCAGGGTCAAAACTCAAGGACACAATGATTGAAAAAAACTTGTATAACTGCCGTAAAGAAGTATGTGTGCTATACGGGCTTGCCGGTAAAGTGTAAACAAATATATGACTATTAATTTCAAAGTGATACATGTGGAAACAGTTTGGTATAGTGGTTAGAATTTTACTACACTACTAGCCCCGAGCTAAAAATGCCAAGGAGCCTACTTGTATATTTTCTTTTTCATTATTTTTTTTTATGGGGAAAATATGCGGGGGAAATTTATACTGAGGAGGAGAATAATAATAATAATAATAATAATAATAAAAATAATAATAATAATAATAATAATAATAATAATAAGTTTTATTATTATTATTATTATTATTATTATTATTAATATTATTATTTTTATTATTATTATTATTATTACCTTCATAAGGATTTGTGTGTTTGTTAGCAACCTACTCTCTACAGTTTTAGGTAAGATTTTTACAGACGATATTTGATTTACTGATCTGTTTGAAACTTCCTTGACGTGTTAATGAAGTTACAATGAAGACATTATTACATTTTGGTGAAAATCCAGGTTCAAATGTGAATTTTTTGGGGGTCATTTAAAATGCTAACATCCCAGACATAAATATTAGTGGCGAATTCATTGAGGGCCGAGCCAGCCCATCCTTCTTCCCAATTAAAAAAAAAATATCAAAAAGAAAATGGAGGAAAAGGAAAAATTATACTTGAATTTAGGTCTGACAGTGCCAACTCCGGCCATCTACAGGAATCAAAATCATAAATGGCGGGCTGAGGTGGTCTAGATCAGACCCTCTAGACCCTCCACCTGGGCCCCTCTATTTGGAATACCTGGATCCGCCACTGAATATCTCCAAGACGCATCAATGGATCTGAATGAAACATTTTTTAACAGTTTAGCATGGTCCAAGGAAGATATATTAAACTTTTGGTGACGATCCGGTGTATGGTGTGGATGTGAGGGCCATTTAAAGGGGACTTTAAATGTCCTAGACGGAGAGTGTAGATCCTAATAAATAATAATAATAATAATAATAATAATAATAATAATAATAATAATAATAATAATAATAATAATTATTATTATTATTATTATTATTATAAAAAAAATACTTATAATGGTCACATTATTAAGAAGACACAACAATAATTGTTACTTAACCAATATCCTGAGGCGCGTGGAACGGAGAGAGTAGAGAAAACAGTAGAACTTATACATACTGTTTGTGGTGCTGAACTAATAATAATAATTCAAATAATAAAACATTAAATAGTTAAACCGTTATTAAATTTTTAATTATTGGTCATGTTGTAACTTCAGCCGTTGTCTTTCAAACCATTTAAATTATCGTAGCAAAAAGTATAAAAACTAACTTGTGTTTAATAATAATAATAATAATAATAATAATAATAATAATTATTATTATTATTATTATTATTATTATTATTATTATTATTATTATTATTATTGTTGTTGTTATTGAATGGTTAGTCACGGCCAATGGCTACCGGATCGTATATAATAAAAACGCATTAGTTGTGTAGTTAGTTATGACGTTCGTTTTGTAAACAACAAGTTTCCGGTTAGAATCCTGGTCTAGGAGGGAATTATGGTGTTGTTGGAGGTACACTCTAGGATTGTGCAGCTCTAGTCATTAACATTAAGGTTTATAAAGAGCACATATCCACTGCAGTATTGATCAAGACGCTACAGAAGGAGGATACAAAAATTACCGTGAATCTATTTATCATAAAAAAACAGTTACGATATTATAATGGTTGGGTGTTCCTGTACTTCTTCCGTATGAATATAACCTACATGCTCCCAACTGACGTAGGTCATAATCATTAAATTTCTTAATTGCGTTGTGTAAGGTATTTTCGGAAACTGTGCGTATTCAGTGACAACACATTGGGCAGACACTAGTTTCTGGCTAACATCTTGATTCGGTGTCATTGTCTTATAATCTAAATGATTCAAAAACGACTCAATGCATGGATTGAAAACTTATCACAAATATAATCTTAGGATATTTTATGGTTTTATTCCATTTCTCGTGTTGTGTATACAACGGTTAGAAATATTTTATGTATTAAGCGCTCCATAAGACTAAAATTATTATTATTATTATTATTATTATTATTATTATTATTATTATTATTGTTATTATTATTATTATTATTATTATCATCATTATTATTATTATTATTATTATTATTATTATTATTATATTATTATTATTATTGGTTTTGTTGTTGTTATTATTGTTATTGCTGTTAATGTAACTAACCATGGAAACAAAATGACTTTATGGTAACAGAGTATAATTATGGCAACATGAAAAAGTTAAAATAATTCAGATAATCTGTTCGGAGATAATTATGAAACACTAGAGGGTGCGCTCGCTACGCTCACTGGAGAGCAAGGCCTCATTTAAACTTGACGAATCATCCAGTTTAAAGTATGGGGGTAGAATTCATACACACTAACAAATGCGTGTATAACAAACAAATGAAAGACAAAATAATTACACAAGAGAAACTTAGGCGCGGTCTTGCCGATGTTAAATAATGGGCGGAAAGACGATGTCTTTAATAATAATAATAAATAAATAAATAAAATGGTTGGGTGATTATGTTTGTGTAGGAAGGGGAAGATCAAAACCTTCATTTTTTACATAGCCTTATAGTGAGTTAAACCGCAGGAATCTAAATGCGTGAAACGGTTTTTCAGACCGGTAGGTTTCGAATCCTAGACGTTATCTGACGACAGGGTTATACTACTGTGATGTACGCTTTGAAATAAGCACAATTATAATATGATAATGGTTAAAAGACATTAGTTGGTGCTATCAAGGATTCTTAATTACGAAAAATTGGAAGTATAGGTACACACAGGGATATGCACCTGTTTAATACATAATTCGTTATTGTTCAAGTTGTATTATGTGCGTTCATCCTTGGTATGTGTGTGCGTGTGTCAGTGAGTGTATTACTGCTTTTCTTAGATGATGAGAGTTGACTCGTTGTTGAAATGTTCAGTCTTCACTTTACT